TTGTATTTAATATCAAATATGTCGGCACCATCATTTAGCTAAAATTAAAAATTTTGAAATTTTTATGATTTTTTCTTAAAGGCAAGCTAAGCTTAAGTGTTCCTTCGTTCGTTAATTTACCCTATAAGATGTTGAGAAATTTGCGATGTTGTGAGCGATGCTTAAAACTGTTAACTACGTATTTTTATTAATATTTATAAATATATATTCAAGAAATTGATAAATATATTATTCCAAATATATGCTTACATATGTATAGTATCGAAATTGTATCAGTTATTGAAAAACAAAATCAAAAAATAAAAAATAATCACATTAAATAAGCACAATCTGGTGTATCAATCTGTTCATTCAAAATGTTTTATTCAAATTTCTTTACTAAATTCGCGATCGCAACGTTCGAGTACGCCCTCTAGCGGGAGCCTGTAAATATCAGACATTAATTTATCACGTTTTCATTTAATTCCATCAAAATCAGTGGCAGAATCAGACGCCATTTTCTTAGCAGCAAGTAAAAATAAAAATTTCCCTAAGGAAAAGTCGAAGCACTTGAAAAAACTCTCCAGAATATTGGGATATCTTTCAAACCCAGAACACGCCGAGCATTTGAAAAAAAATGTCTCAATAATTTTTAACTTCTATTATCAATAAACTTGCAACTCATAACTTCCGATTTCGCTATCGCATACTGTTACAGATGTGTGTATTAAGGTAAAATAAATTTTTTTGTCTTCAATTAATTACGAATTAAAGTGAAGTCAACATTGCTTTCGTCATTCCAGTGAATAAATATGAATTCAGAACATACAGAATTGTATTCGTTATAGAATAGTATATATTTCTGTATCCATATAATTCGGAAAACAGCAATAATAATTATCCAAGTTACTTGAAATAGTGCCATTTGTGCTGATTCTTAATTAATTTTTATCGTTTTCTTGGTAAGTATTTTTTAGTTTCGAAAGAATAAGTTCAACTAGAATTCAGCTATTCTGTTTTTAGCTACATATTCAAATTCATATCAAGATCTTACAATTATAAAATTTTGCTGTGCAGTATGTTATCTAAAAGTAATGAAGGGATAAACTATGTATCTATTATTTGAGAATAAAGCTTTCAAACAAAGAACATATCAATTTGGAATTCTCCGGGAATTATAAATCAGGTAAGTGCAATGATTTTTACAATAAAAAATTTGCTTGTAAATATTTTTTTTTCATTTGATGATAGTTCTCTACAGAATGCGTTTTTACGTCTGATTAAGAACCATAAGAATAAAAGGAGAAACAATATGGAAGTTTTTTATTTCAATATGAGGAATTTTTAAAATCGTTTTTTTATCCTAAGTATTCTTTATTTGACGTTTTTTAGTTTATAATTTTTTGATAAAAATTGTTAAAATAATCGTTTTGAAAAATTAAATGGTATAACATTATGTGTAATGTATACTTCTTGCATATTCTAATGTTTGAAGTAAGATGATTCAAAAAAGTATGGAATAAAAATTCGGTACTTACGTAACAACGCCACCGCAAATACAGATTTGGCGGTTTTTTAGTGCCACCAATCTACACCAAACTTTTTCCAACAAATCATAAAATAAAACACTTTATTTGAAATCAAAGTAGTTTATCGGATTTTGGTGGACAATGGGCAAAATATTTCGCTCTTGAAAAAATAAAATTGCATCTTGTTCTATTTTGGAAAATCCCAAAGACGCTAAAAAATGGTATCAAAAATCGAAGAACAAATCATGTTGGAATTCTTCTGATTTATAAAGCAGGTAAGTGTTAATTTTTATAAAAATTTTTTTTTACTTTAAAGTAATTTTTTATTTATTTGATGATAGTTTTCTATAGAATGGTTTTATGCGTCCGATTATGAATCAAAAAAGAAAAAACATGAATGTTTATTTTAATGTAAGGAATTTTTAGAATTGGTTTTTTCTTTTTTGCTTCGTATCGTAAGCATTCCTTATGTTACGTTTTTTTATTTTCTAAATAATGATTTTTATTAAAGCTTAAAATTTTTTGATAAAAATTGTTGTCAAAGAACTTTTTTTACGAAATAAAAGTAAATAAAATTATGAAGATTATGTACACTTTTTGCTTATTTTAATGTTTGAAGTAATATGATTCTTAAAACTATGGAATGTAAAGTTTAAATAGCCCTCTCAGGTTATATCATTAAATTTAGTAAAACTGTTTCTCAGGCATTAGGTTTAACTCTAATAAGAAGATACATATTTTTTCTGCTTATTTACGAATATTTTTCAGATGTGTTTTGGATGTTCCTTCTTTAAAAAAAGAGATGCCATCTTGTTTTCGGTTGCATAAGAAAGGATATCAAACATTTTTCTTTTTTAAATTTAATAAGCCACGATAAAGAAGGAACGTTACAATATTACACGCTACATTAAAGACGTATCCAGAGTAACTGAATGACTGTTCATTAGAAATCGCAGGTATTAGTCTCATACAACAGCGCCCCCTATAGTTCGTTGCGATCGCGAATTGTTTGCAAGCTTATAGCTTTTCTTCACAGTTTTTATTATTTAAAAAAATTGTTTTTTATTCTTTTTTTAATGTTTAGTTGTTTTTTATTCTTTATGTCTCAATTAGTAACAAGAACGTGGTAGTATAAGTGGACTACCTCACGAAATGAATATTCCTAAAGTAATCTAAAACCACGTGCTTATTTATTTCTACTGTTTGAAACTTATTACTTTGAAATAAAATTATTTTGAATTAGTGGTGATTTAAATAAAATAAATTAGGCACTGAAACGCAAAATTAATGGAGAAATATTTTTTTTCGCTTAAAAGAAAAGAAAAATGTGTTATACTTTTTTTGACGCCAATGATGCTTATTTGATTTTGATCATGAGTACTAGCTGAAATTGAAAAATAAGCTACAGACTAAAATGCAAAATTAATTGAGAAATTAAAATTTGGTGAAGGCAATGTTGGTATCATGATTATTGGTGCAGTTTTATCATAGATACCGTTGAAAGGAGTTTTTCATGACCCTACGAATAAGTACAGTAAAAAACCACCTGTTTGTGGTACATTTTGGTGATTGTGAGTCTTCTTCGTTCAATAGCATTTTTATTTGAACCGATCGGTCTGTAAGGGTAGTAGTACTGTGTGTGTGGGGGGGGGTCAGGGAACTGGCCTTGCATCAGAAAGATTTTGGGTTCGAATCCCAGGCATGGCATGGATGTTCTTTCATTCTCTATACTATCTGTCCTTCCTGTGNTTTTCATATTAATCGCCACATTTAATCATTTCTTTATTGTCGCCAAATTATTTTTTTTTAAATAAATAATTTCAATTTTTCTCAGCTTCTAAGAAATAAAAACAGTTGAAACTTTAGACTTTTCTATTGAAAAATATGTAGATTAAAATGGCATAAAAAAATTCATTCCTTATAATTCAAAATTTTTTCATCCTCAATTTAATTAAATAATAAAAAATAATTATTAATTATAAAAAAATATTTTTTTCAAGAAATTATCTTTGGGTAAATGAGTTTTATGAGTGAGTGCAATTTTCTTTAAATTGCTTTATTAGTTTTCAAAAAGTGAAATTAACATTAAGAGGTACGAAATTTGGATCGCTCTCCTGACCAAACTATGGGGACCATATTTTCCAGATTGCGGCTACCCCCTATATTTTGAAGGTTAAGAATCTAAATATGTAACGAAGAATGTATGTTTATTCAGAGAAAGTACGTTTTTGTTCCTGATTTCGTAACTTAATTACTAGTTAGCACTAATTAATTAGCATATTTGAGATCACCCCCAGGAATCATTAAGATTGACACTTAGTTCGTGAAAATCCGATCATTAGAACGAAAGTTATTCAGGGTGATTCGTTTTTTTTTGCGGACTGTACATTAGAAATAAATAAAATTATAAAAAATAATTTTAGGTTTTTCTTTATCTAATAACGTAAAGTAACCGAGAAGGATAAATAATAATAATGAATAAATAAATAAAAATGAAATTATTCTAGCTGTATTAATTGTGTTTATGTCTTTCAATTTTGTACATGATTTTGAAATGTTGTTCTGTATTAAATTAATGATTATTTACTTCTTTTTTTAACCCGTACTAAGAGCGGGCATCCAGCTAGCAATGTAATAAGATCAACTTTTTTTCTTCGGTAATAATATTTCGAACTCATTATTTAGATAGCATACATTGTTATATTACTGTTTCAAACTCACGCGAAATTTATTTATGACAAAACCTGAGCAATAAATTCTAAATTTCTGAAATATATAAGAAATGAACTTATGAGGAAGTCGCAAGTAAAAAGTTTCTATTTCTAACTGCAACACGTGTATCCAACTGTTATGTTTACATTTGCTTATACTCTTAATCTTACTGCTTCCTCTTACATAAAAGAAGATGAAAATTTTCTACAGCGCGTGTCTAGAAGGTTACTGATAACGTGTTGTTTCGACAGCGCGTGTTGCTAATAATTTATAGATGTATCAGATACGTAGCTGGAAGTATACACACGGCATCGAACTATTGCTATAAAAAGCATACTTTTGCATAATTCCTTCTGCTTCGACATGAAATGTTTCATATTTACCGTTTTATTGATCACAGTGGTAATCCTTGTAAAAGTACAAGGTCAAGGTGGTAGTCCTGGTTCTCCTGGAGCACCAGGTAATTCAGGTTGCCCTGCTGGCCCAGGAGGGGCCGGTAGTTCAGGAGGCACTGGTGGCCCAGGAGGCACTGGTGGTCCAGGAGGCACTGGGGGCCAGGGAGGAACTGGTTTTCCTAATTGCCCTGGTGCACCAGGAGGGGCCGGTGGGCCAGGAGGTGCAGGTGGTCCAAGAGGAGGTGGTGGTACAGGAGGCGGTGGTGGAGGAGGAGGCCCTGGTTCTCCACCTGGTAGTCCTGGTTCTCCTGGACCACCAGGTAGTCCAGGAGGTGCCGGAGGTCCAATAGGAGCTGCTGCTCCAGGAGGCACTGGTGGAATGATCATGCTACCCTTGTATCCAGAGTGTGCCACTTATGGTAAATTAATGCACGATATGTTTGAAGGTAAGTTATTGTAAATACATGTTAAACTGATTTTTGTACTGTTTAAGATTGGAACACTTTTAAAGTTTCAGTAAATAAAATAAGAAATAGCTTATTATGTAGCAGCTACTGATTTTTATGTAATATGGTTGGTAGAATGCAAAATATAGATCTCATCATTGTGTAGAAGCCACTGTTAATCATGTATTGTAAAAATGATTAATTGTTTTCAGAATGTAAAACATAGAATTCTACCTATGTAACGGTTGCATTTAATGTAAAGAATTCTGTAATGTAAAATTAGTTAATTGTTGGCGGAATACAAAACGTAAAATACATCACGATAGTAAAATGGTTTAGTTGTTTGATCCACCTTAATTTTTATTTTAGCTATTTGGTTCTGACTAATTTTTTAAATATAATTTAATCTTATGTATTAAAATAAAACAATAATAGATTCGATTCTGAAATAATATCAGATATTTTTTGAGCATTATTGTATGTTTCCAACTAAATTTTGGCAACTATTCTGGAAATAGTAATATCAAGGACAGTGGTTCGAGATCACGGAGTAGATTATTTTTACCCATTCCTGACTCATTCAAATTTAATGTTACGTACAATGCGCAAAATAAAAACTGGACCACCCTGAATAGCTTTTGATCGAGTGAAGGTATTTTCACGTTCTAGGACTCAATGGTTAGAGGGATGACCTAATTAGTGCAGACGATGTTTTGAGTTACGACATCAGCCACGAAATCGTACTTTCTCTAAATAAACATAGTTACTTTTTCTCTCGATGAATGGGTACTTGCGACCCCCAAAATATAGGGATATATGGTTAGTTTGGTCAGGAGAGTGGTCGAAAGTTTGGACCCTTTACTGATAATTTTTCTTTCTTGATTTCGCCATATCTCGAGAACTCTTTAAGAAAATTAAAAAATTTTGCACACAAATATAAAATTAATTTAACTACTGATAAATCCAATTTTGTTTTATTAAATATATAATAAAATAATATATAATATTAAATATATAATAAAAAATTGGATTGTAAATTATGCAATTTTTGACATTATTTTAAAGAATGTATTTTTACACAGCAAATTAGAAAGTTTGAGCCCAATTAGTCAGATAGTTCCTGAAAAATCAAATTCTAAAAATACGACTTTTTCAAAATAAGATTTCTGATAAACTATTTGACCGATTTTCAAATTTATGCTTTTTTACCCGCCTAAATAATACTTAAAAAAGTTTGGCTACGTATTCGACAACTTTTTATGCTCGGTATCTTTATACTCTTTGTAGTGACTTATAGAACATCAACACTATTTTAGATAATCTATGTTGGAGTCACAAGAAATAAAAAAAAAAAATAAAAGGACAATCAATGATTTATATTCTTTTTTCGAAAAAAATAGCATTCTTAGTAAATAATCAGCTGTTTTGCATTAAATAATTTTAAACAGTAGAATGTTTTTAATTTCTTAACAAGGTTTAATTCTTAGGTAGCAGACAATAATTCATTTTTAAAAAAACTTGACAATAATTTAAAAAGGAACTTTACTTTAAGGAAAACCTAAATTAAAGTACTAAAAAAAATTATTAGTATATTGATGAGGAAATAATAAACGAAGTAGGGTAAAGAATAAGATTTTTAAAAATGTAAAAATTTAGTTAAATAGTTGGTAAAATAGTTCTGCGAAACATTTCCGGACAGGTGATTAAAAAATTACTTTTAAGACGATATATAAGATGTTTAGAAATTTGCGATGATATGAGATATGCTTGAATATGTCTATTACGTATATCTATTAATGTTTATAAAAAATATGTTCACGAAATTGATAAATATTTTATTCCAAATCTATTCATACGTATGTATGTTATTGAAATTGCATCAGTTATTGAGAAAAAAAAACTTAAAATTTTAAAATAATCACATTAAATAAGCACAATCTCGTGTATAATCATATTCCATCAGAAGCATGCTTTTATAAAATTCGACATTCGTTGAATAAAATGTTTTTTATTCAATAAAATGCTTTATTCAAATTTCTTTACTAAATTGCGAATAGATTTTTAGACGACTAAAACAGAAACATCGTATTTTATGGTTTTAAAAAAATAAAATTAAAAAGATTAGCAAACGATTAATAGCGAAAAAAATATGAATGAAATTTTACGCTACGTGCGCTTAGTCAAGTTCCTCGTAATTTTATCACATTTTAATATTAATCGCCCCATTTAATTATTTCCTCATTGTCGCCAAATTTTATTTTTTTAAATAATCAATTTTAATTTTCCTCATCTTCTAATAAATAAAAACAGTTGAAACTTAAGATTTTTCAATTATAGTAATATGTAGATTAATATGGCATAAAAAATCCATATTTTGAAGATAAGGAATCCAAATATCTAAAAAATATGTATATATTTATTCAGAGAAGGTACGTTTTTGTGTCTGATTTCGAAACTTAATTAATAGTTATCGCTAATTGATTAGGTCACCCCCAGGAACCATTAACATTGTGATAAGAACCATTCGTGAAAATCCTATCATTAGAACGAAAGTTATTTAGGGGGATATTTTTTTTTTTGCGGACTGTGCATTGGAAAGAAATAAAATTATAAAAAAATTATTTTAGGTCTTTCTTTATCTAATAACGTAAAGCAACCGAAAAGGACAAATAATAATAATAAATAAATAAATAAAAATGAAATTATTCTAGCTGTATTAATTGTGTTTAAATATGTCTTTCAGTTTTGTACATAATTTTGTAATGCTGTCCTGTATTAAATTAATGATTATTTACTTTTTTTTTTAATCCGTAATAATAACGGGCATCCAGCTAGTAATGTAATAAGATCAATTTTTAAAATCGGCAATAATATTTCGAACTCATTATTTAGATAGCATATATTATTATATTTCTGTTTCAAACTCACGCGGAATTTATTCATGAGAAAACATGATCAATAAATTCTAAATTTCTGAAATAATATAAGAAATGAACATATGAGGAAGTCGTAAGTAAAAAGTTTTTATTTGTCACTTCAACACGTGTATCCAACTGTTATGTTTACATTTGCTTAGACTCTTAATCTTACTGCTTCCTCTTACGTAAAAGAAGAAGAAAATTGTCGACAGCGCGTGTCAAGAATGTTACTGATAACGTGTTGTTTTGACGGCGCGTGTTGTTAATAATTTATAGATGAATAAGATACGTCGCAGGAAGTATACACACGGCATCGAACTATTACTATAAAAAGCATACTTTTGCATGTTTCCTTCCGTCTCGACATGAAGTGTTTCATATTTACCGTTTTATTGATCACAGTGGTAATCCTTGTAACAGTACAAGGTCAAGGTGGTAGTCCTGGTTCTCCTGGAGCACCGGGTACTCCAGGTTGTCCTGGTGGTCCAGGAGGCGACGGTAGTCCAGGAGGTGCTGGTGGTCCAGGAGGCACTGGTGGTCCAGGAGGCACTGGGGGCCAGGGAGGCATTGGTTTTCGTTGTCGTAGTTCAGATTGCCCTGGTGGACCAGGAGGGGCAGGTGGTCCAGGAGGCCCTGGTGGTCAAGGAGCACCTGGTGGTGCAGGAGGCCGTGGTGGCCAGGGAGGCTATGGTAATCCTAATGGTTTTCCTGGATCTCCTGGACCACAAGGTAGTCCAGGTAGCCCTGTTGGTCCAGGAGGCGCCGAAGTTCCAGTAGGAGCTGCTGCTCCAGGAGGCGCTGGTGGATTGATCATGCTACCCTTGTATCCAGAGTGTGCCACTTATAGTAAATTAATGCACGATATGTTTGAAGGTAAGTTATTTTAAATGCGTGTTAATATTATTTTTGCACTGTTTATGATTGGAACACTTTTAAAGTTTCTGTAAATAAAATAAGAAATAGCTTATTACGTAGCAGCAACTGTTCTTTATGTAATATGGTTGGTAGAATGCAAAATATAGATGTCATCATTGTGTAGAAGCCACTCTTAATCATGTAATGTAAAATGTAATGGATGCATTTAATGTGAGGATTTATGTAAAGCAAAATTAGTTAACTGTTGGCGGAATACAAAACGTAACATACATCTCAATGTAATATGGTTTAGTTGTTTGATCTATCTTAATTTTTATTTCAGCTATTTGGTTCTGATTAATTTTTCAAATATAATTTAATTTTATTTATTAAAATAAAACAGTAATAGATTCGATTCTTAAATAATATCAGATACTTTTTGATCATTATTGTATACTTCCACTTTAAGTTTGGCAACTATTCTGGAAATAGTAATTTCAAGGACAGTGTTTCGAGTCCTCGGAGGAGCTTATTTCTACACATTCCTGGCTCATCCAAGTTTAATGTTATGTACATTGCGCAAAATAAAAACTGGACCATCCTGAATAGCTTTGATCTGATGAAAGTATTTTCACGTTCTGGAACTCAATGGTTAGAGGGGTGACCTAATTAGTGCAGATGATGTTTAGAGTTACGAAATCAGGCCGTACTTTCTCTAAATAAACATAGTTTTTTCTCTCTCGATGAATGTGGATTTCCGACCTCCAAAATATAGGGGCTAGGCGCAACCTGGGATATATGGTCAGTTTGGTCAGGAGAGTGGTAGAAAATTTCGACCCCTTTCTGCTAACCTTCCTTTCTTGATTTCGCCATATCTCGAGAAGTTTTTAAGAAAATTGAAAAAATTTTGCATTCAAATATAAAATTAATTTTACCACTGATACATCCACGCAAATTTTTTTTTATTGTTTTATTAAATAGCAGTGAAAAAAATTGGATTATAAATTATGCAACTTTTGACATTATTTTAAAGAATGTATTTTTACATAACAAATTATAAATTTTAAGCACAATTAGTGAAATAGTTCCTGAGAAGTCAAATTTTAAAAATACGACTTTTTCAAAATAAGATTTCTGATAAACTATTTGACCGATTTCGCTCAAATTTTGTTTTGTCCCATAAAATTGCATTTTTTTATAATGATGTAATAAACTATATATCTTACTGTTCAATATGTTATATTTAAATAAACGAATTTTATCTCCTTCTTATATTTATTTTGATATATTTATATTCATGTCAGTAAGTCTTGAATGAAATATTACATTTAAAATGCAATAGCATGAATGCATGCTATAATCGTATGCTATTAAAGTTTATTTTATTTTTCAGAAATGCGGATTGATAACAGAATTGGTCCAGAACAATGTCAATCAGGAAATCATACAGTGAGTAATAGTTATTCAATAAACATAATTATATTAATGAACGTAATAAATAAATCTAAACACTGAATTCGTTATAAAATCTGAAACACTAACAAGCTTTCAAATGATTTAAGTTTTCATTTTTACATTTTCTATAAAAACTCAACTTTTAACCATTTTAGTTCAAGTGTTATCATTTGGTATAATTTGTGAATGCAAAAATATTTGAATAATTGAAAAAGCATAAAAATGTTTGGATATTTCTCGTAAATTTATATCCTACAATTTTAGTTGAGGAATAATAGTACACTGAGAAAGAAAAGCGTGATTGAAACTACCATAACACGGTAAAATTTGCCGTGTTTTTTGCTCTATGGGAATACCAAAAAGATCGGTAGTTTTCACCGTAGCGTTTCGATAATAATTTTGGTAGAATTTCCAATAAAATATGATTTCTAAATATGTGATACATAATTCGGTAAATGAGGTAAAATGTGGTCATTTTATCATGATACCTTAGAGCGTGGCAAAATAAATCTAAAAACATTAGGTTAAATTTACTTTTTAGTTTTATATTTCGTACTAACTGTGTAGTAATAAGAACTATAATTTTAAAAACCAGAATTTCCTGTAAATCGTGATCAAACGAGCAGAAAAATTGCCAAATGAATGGTTTAAATATCGTATATTTCAGTTTTATTAACTAGAATTATGGTTTTTATTCATTAGAAATGTCCTTACCACAGATTAAGGTAATTTTTTCAGACATTTCCCCCCTTTTTTTGTAGTATTAATAAGGTAACCAAATTGCTTGTGTTACTGATACAATGTAGAAATCAGTTGTTCTACAGATAATCGTGCTAATGTGCAGATTAACTAGGGTGATTTCTTAAAATCCCAAAAAATCGTTTCCTTTTCTGAAATTACCTAATTTAATTTTTTCATTGTAAAAGATTGAGGCAATTCTTTGTATGTATTACTTTAAACTTAGCAAAAAAATAAAAGAATAAAAAAATAAATAAAACATTTTTTAAAAAATAATATTATTTCTATGGATCTGCACAAAAATGGTTATAAATAAAATATTATGTTTAACTTATAAAACTTGAGTTTATATAGTTCCGGCTAATTTTCCAGGTAATAAGTTCATTTTGTATAAAGTTTATTTTCTTTTTAATTTACTATGTTTTTAATTACTTTTATAGTTATATAAGAATTTCTAATAAATTTACCATTGATTTCTTATAAAATATAAAGACAGATGAAAAGTCGGTGGTTTTCGAATACTGACACAAAATAAACCACCTACTTTTCATCTGTTTTCGTAAAAAATTTTTGTAAGAACTTCCTGCAACACATTTAAACTTAACTTTTAGAAGTCATATGCAATATTTTCTTTGTTACTTCTTTGTTCAGACCCATAGAAAAGTTGTTGCTCTTTAAAATTTTTAAAATTATTTCATTTAATGACAAATACCCATAATATATAAATATAACGTTATAATATGATTATTTAATAACGGATACAAAATAAACACGTGGTTTCAGAGCCACGTGTTTACTTTATTTATACCAAATTAGCATTAGAAATGCTAATTTGTTTACTTAGATCAACATACCATTCCAGTTGAATGAGAGTAATAGAGAAGGGGGGGGGAGGAGATAGTGTGGACATTTTGAATAACTTTTTATTTATTTATTTGTCAAATTTCTTCTGTGAGATATCGTAGATTTGCATCACTGGTGTACACTTTCATGTGCATTTGCATAATCATACTGTGAATAATTTAGTAGAAATTTGTAAATGAAGGTTTTTAAGTTTTTTATATACTATATTAGTAACATATTTTAATTTCAGAATTTTAACAAGATATAATAATATACAAATTAAACCGGTTTTTTTCTCATTAGTTTTAATTTTAAATATTGCTGTTTCATTAATCTGGATTAGGCATAAACAAACAGATGTCTTTGCGGGGCTAGTGTATACATATGGGGGCAGGGTTTTTGTGGACGTGCTTTTGAAAGAAATATGAATTTGTAACAAATGTAACAAATTTGTTGTTATTTATTTTACAAATTTGAATGATTTTGTAGAATGTTATACATTTAAAATTAGTGGTTTCAATCTGAAGCATAAAATTTAACGCAAAACCCTTGTATTAATCCACTTTTGAAAGATTTTGAGAACATTTAACAGAGTTGTTTTATGAAATTAGAGAAAAGAACATGGAACATAAAGTTGGATTAATAACGAAAGCAAAGTGTTTTTTAAATATTTATTTTTTGTAATACATTATTCAAAATCTGAATTACCACGAATGGTCCTGTCAACGCTTTTGCGATTTGTTTGCAGGCTCCGTGTGTTGTCCATACAAAACATTTCATCATTAATTTAAATCTAAGGTTATTGAAATTGATTTAACTTAAAATTGGCATTCTGCTTTTTCAGATAAATCAAATTAAATAATAGTTTTCAAATGCATTGGCTTGCTTTAAAACTTTCTTTCTCAGTAAAATGAATATAACAAATTAGTACCTAAAGTTTAATATGTCAGTATTTATTCTCCACTAAAACTTAGATTTTAATTAATTACATTAATTGAGTTGTATTAAACGAGAAAATAATAAGTTATCAAGTTCGCCCACACTAGCCCCATAGCTTGCCTCATGTAGTAGGGCTAGTGTCTACAAAAACAACCTTTTATTAAAACAAAAAATATTATGGAAAAATAAACAGTTTTGTAACTCTAAATAAAAACGGAAATTTAGTATATATCTATATTGCCTAAAGCAGTCAAAATGACTGTATTGTGAAAGAATAAAGAAATTTGTTTAAAATTAATTTTTAATATTTTTTATATTATTTACAATTATATTAAACATTATTAGTAAATATTAACAATAAAAGGAATATATGTTGTACAAAAAGTCTCAAAATTCTAAAAAATTGCGTCATTATATACACGATTGCTTTTCTAATTGAAATTAAAAAGCTGTCAAAATGACTTCCTTAGGCAATCTAGTGTTAAATATGGTATTTTGATAAATTAGTGAAAAATGTCCACATAGTTTCCTCACCCCTGTCTGACTTATTTTGATGTGCAGAAAATCTTATTATTCGAAAAGCAGCTTCGCTAAAATGTCTGTCATTATAAGAGATTTTACATTTTGCAATTTTTTTAAAAGAAATGATAGTAGGTAATGTCATGAAATTAAAAATAATTGATTAAAATAAATTATTTATCACATCTTAGACAGCTCATGCCAGATCTACTACATAAAATTCTAAAAATAAAAATTCGATTTCTTTTAAAATGATGTATATCTGAAATGCAATTTTTTTTTTAATTATCATACTTAATCTTTTTACGTGCTCTTGGTCTTTTGTTAAAATTCATTATTTATGACTTTTTTGTTGTATTAACCCTCAAAGCCCCATAAACAGATTTTCAAATAAAGAACAATAGTTTTACTTTGTTTATACATAATTTTTAAAGCTGTGTACCATTTACAAAGAAAAAAACCTTCCAATTTTTTTTGATTAAATGATCTCGTGAAGAATCCAAATCTGATTAAGAAAGTAATTTTTATGACTAATTTCGTATCGTCTTAACCAAAGCACTTGAGCAATTAAGATTGATTCTCAAGTACATGTAAATCCATACTGAGAATAAAAGTATCAAACATACCAGAATATGATAAAATTTACCATGTTTCTGGCTCTATCTATGGGAAATCCTAAAAGCATGTTAATTTTTCGGAAATTATTTGGTCATGCCTTCAGGTAAGATTAACAATAGAATGCATTTTTGAAGTTATACTTCTTATGCGACTTCCAACGAGGTTGCGTTAAACGTTTAACGCTACATTTTTATTGGCCGGGAAATCACGTGGTAGAATCCAGTTTTCCCTCATTCATATTGTTTTGGTTCTCACTAGCATAAAAATAATGAAAGTCATAAAACTTTTGTTTTTCGATAAATATTTTTTTAGTTTGTTTTGATACACATATAATTTAATAGGGAGCAGGAAAAAGAGTCGTTGAACAAAACTAGTGATCCTTCTACGACTGCTGATTCTTCTACAATTAACGTCGCAGAATACGAAGTTTAACTTCTTCCGCGCGGAGGGATTCCACGCACTTTTTTTTTTTGAAGTTATACTTCTTATGCGACTTCCAACAAGAAAGCGTTAAACGTTTAACGCTACATTTTTAGTGGCCGGGAAATCACGCGGTAGGATCCAGTTTTCCCTCATTCATTTCCATATTGTTTTGGTTCTCACTAGCATAAAAATAATAAAAGTCATAAAACTTTTTTTTACTATAAATATTTTTTTAGTTTGTTTTGATGCACATATAATTTAATAGGGAGCAGGAAAAAGAGTCGTTGAATAGAACTAGTGATCCTTCAACGACTGCTGATTCTTCGACAATTAAGGTCGCAGGTTACGAAGCTTAACTTCCTCCGCGCGGAGGGACTCCGCGCACTTCTTTTTAATTATTTTCTTTCCAATCAAGTTTTTTTTTACTTAAATTGTATGAAACACTTTCAGTTGCCAATGAAAAAATCGAAAGTAAATTATGAATCAAAAACAAAACAAGAAAATCTGCGGTAGACTTGAGAAATTATTGCGACCAAAATGGGTAAATCAGAGCAAGTGAGAAACTCATGCCGTTAATTAAGGAGTCGACATCCACATTAACGATACAAGATTCCAGAGCAGATTCGAGATATGTATTAATTTAACGTAGGTATAAAATATATGTATTATATACGTATTAATGTATTAATATAAGTTATGTATTATATGTTATGTATTATACTTTATGTATTATGTACATTATGTATGTTATGTATTAATATACGTGTTTTTTTTTACCAACTCTGTTTTGTATTTTATATTAATGTCTGGTGGCTATTGAATATGGGTTCTTTGCGAGCAAATTGAAACGTATGCACTGTAATAAATTTCATATCGAATTGCGGTTAATTACCAGCACCCTGTGTGCATCAATCGTAAAATTCATTTTACCGTTTAATCCATTTTTACAGCAAAATTTTATACCATATATTTTACATTAATAATTATTCAACTATAGTGACTCAGTGATTTTGAATTAAATATTGCGGTAAAAATTACGGTATATAATATTTTTTGTTCCGTAAAAGTTTACGATATAAAGTACCGGCACTCTGGATGACGTACCTCGTACTGTAATTTGATCCCGAGTTTTCATCGTGTAGACTTTTTTCAGCTTAAAATGTTTGAAGTGACTTTTTTTTTCTAATAGTAGAATAAAGGTACTTTTTGCCGTGTTCCTTAAATTTTAAATTTTTTTATTTCTTTTTTATTTTTTTATTTATTTATTTATTTTTTAGATATGCATGTCTGAAGATGTGAAAAAGGTTCGCTGTGCAGTAACTCAGCCAATGCCACAAGACTGTGTGGATAAGATTATGGAATTTGTACTAGGAAATTCATGTTCCGGAACCGAAGTTTGATGAGATCGAAATTAAAATTAAAAATATAACTGTTGCCACCTTTCATGATGAAACATGAAGCGTCAGTGAAATAAATATATTCAACTATAAAGTTCTCAATTTTTTTTATACAAAATTTGTTTCACTAACACACTTTAATTGTTTAAAACCCCCCATAAAAATCATTAATTTAATGTTTAAATGATAAGTAGTTGAATTTCTTTCTGAAAAGTTAGAATTCCGATTTTAAAATTTGTTTTAATTATGACGCTTATTTCTAAAAAAATTTTTTTCCAATTAATAGTTAATTACATTTTTATTCACTTATAATGCTGATCTGAAAATAATTTTGTCTTAAAATAAAATGGCTATTTCATTAATTTCGGATACAAAACTACAAATATTTTGTTAAAAGAAATATATTAAACCTTGCTTTTAGAGTTACTCTTCGAATGCTGCAATAATTTATTTTATATCTAAGGATTCAAATAGGCTACAACTATTACAACTTAACATATTATTTATGACGAAAGAATAAATTAAATATAATGCTAAACAAAACATATTTCATTTAATTGTACACTAATAATTTTATCAGCTGTCAAAGGAATGCAAAATGAATATTGTATAAATGTCAGAAAATTGAGCTACCTTGTCTAAACCAAACCCAGTGCTGACATGAAATGGTGAATGGATCATTGGTCAGAGTTCACTAGCTGTCGAGCTAACCGTGTGAGGTTTTTGCAATTTTCCTCTACAAGTAAAGCAAATACAGGTTAGTTCCATTACAAAGTTCTCCACGAAGGTCAGTTTTTTGCAGTGCTTGATCTGGGAGTTACTTTGTCGTCGTACGCGGTTAGGGGCGCTTCTCTATTATGACCTGTCCAGGAGCACACGAAGGAACAGATCAAAATAGGGTAGCGCTCTTAGCACCGTATGACGGCAACTCTGGGCATGGATTCTAATGAAATTTTAATTTTAACTTTACTATGGAATCATATCTTTACATACGATCTGTGCATGTAGCCAAAATACGACATAATTCATTAGTTTGGATTTTTCATCGGTAATACAAAATGTGTTAGTGATTGTCTCTCTTATAACTCTTTGTTGCAGTGTTCAGAAATTACGACAGAGGTGAAAAGGATTAGCTATAGTTTATGATCCAAACAATTGCTCAAAAATTTCAATTGATCATTTGGTACAGACGTTTAAAAAATGATATTTCCCCATATTAATTAGCCTTTATAAATAAAATTGCTGACGATTTTGCTTATTAAATATTTTAAAGATAACATCGGGATTGTTTGCTAGCTTATAGCTTTCGTAAATAGTTTTTATTATTTAAAAAAAATAGTTTACTGCACTTTCTTTAATGTTTAGTTGTTTTTTATTCTTTATGTCTCAATTATTAACAAGAACATGCTAGTATAAGTGGACTACCTCACCAAATGAGTATTCCTGAAATAATCTGAAACAACGTGTTTATTTTTTTTTTCTACTGTGTGAAACGTATTAATGTTAATCAAAATTATTTTGAATTAATGGTAATTTAAATAAAATAAATCAGGTACTGAAACGCAAAATTAATGGAGAAATAATTTTTTCGTTTAGAAGAAAAGAAAAAATTTGTAATACTTTTTTCGACGCCAATGATGCTTATTTAATTTTGATAATGAGTACTAGCTGAAATAAAAAAATAAGCTATTGACTAAAATGCAAAATGAGAAATTCAATTTATTCCTCTAAGAGAAAGGTAGAAAATCGTAATGTTATTACTGACAATGATGCTTAATTAAATTAGGTGAAGGCAATATTGGTATCATGATTATTGGTGCAGTCCTATTATAGATACCGTTGAAAGGAGTTTTTCATTACCCTACGAATAAGTACAGGAAAAAACCACCTGTTTGTGGTACATTTTGGTGATTGTGAGTCTTCTTCGTTCAATAGCATTTTTATTTGAACCGACCGGACTGTAAGGGTCAGGGAACTGGCCTTGCATCAGAAAGGTTCTGGGTTCGAATCCCAGGCATGTCATGGATGTTCCTTCATTCTCTATCCTATCAGTCCTTCCTGTGGGTGCAACGTTGGCCCACCTATTATGATGCCACTGAAAGAGCTAACAAATCTGCCAGTAAATGTCTGTAGTGAAAAAATGTTAACACAGGTGTACAGTCCGCAAAAAAAAAGATATCACCCTGAATAACTTTCGTTCTAATGATCGAATTTTCAGGAACTAAGTGTCAATCTTAATGGTTCCGGGAGGTGACTTCAAATATGCTAATTAATTAGTGCTAACTATTAATTAAGATACGAAACCAAACACAAAAAGTACTTTCTCTGAATAAACATATATTTTTTGTACATATTTGGAATCCAGACACTTGAATCAGGGGGGTAGACAAAGTTTTAAAAGAATTGGGTCGCAATAAAGGTTTATATATCTGGCGATAGTCTAGAAAACCACCAAAAAAAGTCGCCAGCGCAAATGAATATTATAAGATAACCCATTGATTAATTCAAAAGAAAAATGCTTAATTTTACTAGGTTGCTAGGCAACCAAGCTCTGACTGTAAAAAAAAATTAAAATAATGTTCTGTGATTGTTCGGAGAGGTTTAATTAATAGTTGATATAAAATATCTCGAAGTTTCAAGCAATAGACAATTTTTAAACTGACTTCTGTCCAAAAAGCAAATTTTTTTTACTTTAATCTCCTTTGAAAAGAAAATTTGAGTCAATTTATATATTATATATGATTTTCTCAGTTTTTAGATTTCAAATGCATGAACTTTTTATCTGATATTAATTAGATTATGTTGTTTTTGCTATATTTATTCGAAGATTTCATACAAAAATCAAATTAACTTAACTTATTACTTTACTTTTTACTTTTATTATTTTAACTATTTTATTATTTTAACTATTTTATTATTTTAACTATTTTATTATTTTAACTATTTTATTATTTTAACTTTTTTCCTCGTTTTAATTTTCAAGGAAATGTGTTTCGATCAGAATTCATTCTGGAAATAGCGAAATTATTGAGTAGGTCTCTTGGAGCAATATCATTCTTATCCTCTTTTGACAAAATATAGGAAAAATTGGTTTTCACAGTTTCTGTAAAAAGTATTTTAGCCTTCTTGCCACTTTTTTTTAAAATTTTTCTTCGTATTTTTAATCATAATAAGTTCGGAAATTGCGTATTTTTTATTGCTTTTTTCTCTTTAAATCAGAGGATTCTAAAAGTGGCACCGCTTCGGAATCTTCTTACAAATATAAATTTTTAGCATCTCCTATTTAACAAAATAAAGCATTTTTCCTGATAACAAATTATACTACAATAATATCTTGGAAATCGTGCTAAAGTAAAAAATTAAACAAAATAGTTCAGTATATTATCCGGAAAAAAATCTACATGGAGTCACAAAGAAAGAGTAAATGATATAAAGGAATAATTAGTGAATCACACGTGGTCAGATAATTAAAAATTTAATTTCACAACTAAGATGTTAGGTCGACATTTAAGATACTGAGATATTTTAAGACGCTTAAAAATTTTGACTACGAATTCGGCAGTTTTTTATGCTCGGTATCTTTATACTCTTTGTAGTGACTAACATCAACACCATTTTATACAATCTATGTTGAAGTCACAGGAAACAAAAAAAAGACAATCAATGATTTATAAAAAAATTGTACACTTATTAGTAAATAATCAGCTGTTTTGCATCAAACAATTTTAAACAGCGGAATGTTTTTAATTTCTTAACAACGTTTTATTCTTAGGTAGCAGACAATAATTCTTTAAAAAAAAACTTGACTATAATTTATAAAGGAACTTTACTTTAAGGAAAACCTAAATTAAAGTGTTAAAAAATTGATTAGTATATTGATGAGGAAGTAATAAACGTAGTAGGGTAAAGAATAAAATTTTTGAAAATGTTAAAATTTAGTTAAATAGTTGGTAAAATAGTTCTGCGAAATACTTCCGGACAGGTGATTAAAAAATTACTTTTAAGACGATATATAAGATGTGGAGAATTTTGCGATGATGTGAGATACGCTAAAAAATTTTTACTACATATTTTTATTAATATTTAAAGAAATATATATTCAAGAAATTGATAAATATTTTATTCCAAATCTATTCTTACGTATGTATATTATTGGAATTGCATCAGTTATTGAGGGAAAAATACTAAAAAATAAAAAATTATCACATTAAATAAGTATAATCTGGTGAATAATCATATTCTGTCAGAAGGATGCTTTTATAAAACTTGACATTCGTTGAACAAAATATTTTTTATTCAATAAAATGTTTTATTCAAATTTCTTTACTAAATTGCGAATAGATTTTCAGACGACTGAAAAAGAAACATCGTATTTTATAGTTTTAAAAAAATAAAATTAAAAAGATTAGCAAACGATTATTAGCGAAAAAAATATGAATGAAATTTTACGTTACGCGCGGTAAGTCAAGTTCCTCGTAAGTTTATCACATATTAATACTAATCGCCTCATTTAATTATTTCTTCATTGTCGCCAAACTATTTTTTTAAATAATTAATTTTTTTCATCTTTTAATAAATAAAAACTGTTGAAATTGTAGATTTTTCAAATGAAAAATATGTAGATTAATATGGAGTGAAAAATCCCTACCTTATAATTCAAAATTTTTTCATCCTTACTTTAATTAAATAATTAAAAATAATAAATAATTATTAATTTTCATGAAATTACCTTTGGGCAAATGAGTTTTATGAGTGGGTGCAATTTTGTTTTCCAATTGCTTCATTAATTTTTAAAATATGACTGAAAACGCAAAATGCGAAATTAACATTAAGGGGTCCAAATTTTGAAACGCTCTTTTGACCAAAGTATGGGTACCACATTTTCCAGATTGCGACAACCCCCTATATTTTGAAGATAAGGAATCCAGATACGTAAAAAAAAATATATGTTTATTCAGAGAAAGTACGTTTTTGTGTCTGATTTCGTAACTAAATTAATAGTTATCGCTAATTAATTAGATCACTCCCAGGAACCATTAAGATTGTGATAAGAACCATTCGAGAAAATCCGATCATTAGAACGAAGCTATTTAGGGGGATATCTTTTTTTTGCGGACTGTACATTGGAAATAAATAAAATTGTAAAAAAATTATTTTTGGTTTTTCTTTATCTAATAACGTAAAGCAACCGAAAAAGACAAATAATAATAATAAATAAATAAATAAAAATGAAATTATTCTAGCTGTATAAATTTTGCTTATATATGTCTTTCAGTTTTGTATATGATTTTGTAATGTTGCTCTGTATTAAAATAATGATTATTTACTTTTTTTTCAACCCGTACTTAGAACGGGTATCCAGCTAGTAATGTAATAAGATCAACTTTTTTTCATCCGCAATAATATTTCGAATTCATTATTTAGATAGCATATATTATTATACTGTTTCAAACAAAAGCGAAATTTATTCAAGAGAAAACCTCTAATCAATAACTTCTAAATTTCTGAAATAATATAAGAAATGAACTTATGAGGAAGTCGCAAGTAAAAAGTTTTTATTTGTCACTTCAACACGTGTATCCAAACTGTTATGTTTACATTTGCTTATACTCTTAATCTTACTGCTTCTTCTTACCTAAAAGAAGAAGAAAATTCTCGACAGCGCGTGATGTTAATAATTTATAGATGAATCAGATACGTCGCTGGAAGTATACACACGGCATCGAACTATTGCTATAAAAAACATACTTTTGCATGTTTCCTTTTGTCTCGACAAGAAGTGTTTCATATTCGCCGTTTTATTGATCACAGTGGTAATCCTTGTAACAGTACAAGGTCAAGGTGGTAGTCCTGGTTCTCCGGGAGCACCAGGTAGTCTAGGTTGCCCTGGTGGTCCAGGAGGCGCCGGTAGTGCAGGAGGCGCTGCTAGTCCAGGAGGCACTGGTGGCCAGGGAGGCATTGGTTTTCGTAGTGGTAGTTCAGATTGCCCTGGTGGTCCAGGAGGGGCTGGTACTCCTGGACCAGGTAGTCCAGGTAGCACTGTTGGTCCAGGAGGAGCCGAAGGTCCAGTAGGAGCTGTTGCTCCATTAGGCGCTGGTGGATTGATCATGCTACCCTTGTATCTAGAGTGTGCCACTTATAGTAAATTAATGCACGATATGTTTGAAGGTAAGTTATTTTAAATGCGCGTTAAAATGATTTTTGTATTGTTTAAGATTGGGACACTTTTAAAGTTTCAGTAAATAAAATAAAAAATAGCTTATTCCGTAGCGGCAACTTTTTTTATATAATAAGGTTGGTAGAATGCCAAATATAGATGTCATCATTGTGTAGAAGCCACTCTCAATCATGTCATGTAAAACTGGCTAATTGTTTTTAGAATGTAAAATATAGAAATATACCTTAACGGTTGCATTTAATGTAAGGATTTATGTAATGTAAAATTAGTTAATTGCTCTCGGAATACAAAACGCAAAATACATCACAATGTAAAATGGTTTAGTTGTTTGATCTATCTTAATTTTTATTTTAGCAATTTGGTTCTGACTAATTTTTTAAAAATAACTTAAATTTATGCATTAAAATAAAACAATAATAGATTTGATTCTGAAATAATATCAGATATTTTCTGAACATTATTGTATATTTCCAACTTAAGTTTGGCAACTATTCTGGAAATTTCATGAACAGTATTTCGAGCTCACGGAGTAGCTTATTTCCACACTTTCCTGACTCATTCAAGTTTAACGTCATATACAATGCGCGAAATAAAAACTGGACCACCCTGAATAGCTTTGATCTTTGAAGGTATTTTCACGTTCTGGGACTCAATGGTTAGAGGGGTGACCTAGTTAGTGCGGACGATGTTTTGTGTTACGAAATCAGGCACAAAATCGTACTTTCTCTAAATAAAATAGTTTTTTTTTCTCTCGATGAATGTGGATTTCCGACCCCCAAAATATAGGGGCTAGGAACAAGCTGGTATATATGGTCAGTTTTGTCAGGAGAGTGGTTGAAAGTTTGGACCCCTTACTGTTAATTTTGCTTTTTTGATTTCGCCATATCTCGAGAACGTTTCAGGAAAATTGAAAAAATTTAGCGCACAAATATAAAATTATTTTAACCACTGATAAATCCACGCAAAAAATGAATTTTAGTAAGCCTTTATCATTTTTTATTGTTTTATTAAATGACAAATTAGAAATTTTGAGCACAATTGGTCAAATATTTCCTGAGAAATCAGATTCTAAAAATACGACTTTTTCAAAATAAGATTTCTGATGAACTATTTGACCGACTTCGCTCAAATTTTGCTTTGTCCCTGAAAATTCCATTTTTTATAATGATGTAATAAACTACATTTCTTACAGTTTAATATATTATATTTAGATAAACGAATTTTATAAATTTTTGCAAAAATTTTCCAATTCGCTTAAAAAATTTCGAGATATTGTGAAATATGCGAAAAGTAAAATTAACATCAAGGATCCCAACTTTGGACCGCTATTCTGATCAAACTGTTGGGAACCTATTTTTGTGATTACGGGTAGCCCTTATATTTTATGAGTTTTAAATCATCGAAAAAAAGTTATACTTTCTCAGAGGAAATACGTTTTTGTGTCTAATTTCGTAACTTAAAATATCATTAATTATTCAGTATATTTGAGGGCTCCTCTTTGAACCATTAAGATTAAATTCTAGAACGTGAAGATTCGAACATTAGATCAAAAGTTAATCAGGGTGGCTCGTATTTTTGTTTTGCGCTCTATAGTGGGATAATGTGAAACATGTGTTTAAACATTTCATGACCTGTTACATTAGGTTTCCTAATTCTCCCTGGACTGGGAAAACAACTATGGTGGATGGAGCATCTTGCTACGATTTTACCCTCCACAATGGAGATTCATCAGCCTTTAATATTGTTTTTTTCCGCCTAAATATTAGTTAGAGATAATGTGCATGTTTGTTTGACCATTTTGACAAAAAATTTAAGTTATATATTATTAAGAGACAATAATTACGCATCTTATATTTATTTTGATATATTTATGTTATTTTTTGTACGTCTTAAATGATATATTACATTTAAAATACAGTAGCATGAATGCATGCTATAATCGTATGCTATAAAAGTACATTTTATTTTTCAGAAATGCGAAATGATAACAGAATTGGTCCAGAACAATGTCAATCAGGAAATCATACAGTGAGTTATAGTTATTCTATAAACATAATTACATTAATGAACGTAATAAATAAATCTAAACATAATAAATAAATCTAAACATAATAAATAAATCTAAACAGTTCTCATTTTAACATTTTCTATAAAAAGTCAGCTTTTAACCATTTTAGTTCAAGTGTTATCATTTGGTATAATTTTTGAGATGCAAAAATATTTGAATAATTGAAAAAGCATAAAAATTTTTGAATATTTTTCTTAAATTTATGTCTTACAATTTTACTTTACAGAAATAGTACACTGAGAAAAAATGCGTGGTTGAAACTTCCATAACACGGTAAATTTTCCGTGCCTTTTGCTCTATGGGAATACCTAAAAGTTCGGCAGTTTTTACCGTAGTTTCGATAATGATTTTGGCAAATTAACCATAAAACATGATTTCATAATGTATAATATATAATTCGGTAAATGTTGCAAAATATGATTATTTTATATCATGATACCTCAAAGCGTGGCAAAATAAAAAAATAAAAACATTAGGTTAAATTTACTTTTTAGTTTTGTATATTATACGAACTGTGTAGTAATAAGAACTATAATTTTAAAAACCAGAATTTTCGGTAAATCAAACCAAGCGAGCGGAAAAATTACCAAATGAATGGTTTAAATACCGTATATTTTGGGTTTATTAACTAGAATTATGGTTTTTATTCATTAGAAATGTCCTTACCATACAGTAAGGTAATTTTTTCAGACATTATTTCCCCTTTTTTTGTAGTATTAATAATGTAACCAAACTGCTTGTGTTACTGCTACACTGTACAAATCAGTTATTCTACAGATAATCTTGCTGATGTACAGATGTGCTAGGATGATTTCTTAAAATACCGTAACAAAGCAGTAACAAATTGCTTGTGCTACTGCTACTGTGTAGAAATGATTTATTCCACAAATTATCTTGCTAATGTGCAAATCAACTAGAGTGATTTCATAAAGTCCCACAAAATCGTAAAAATGTAACACATTTGACGTTATTTATTTTCTAAACTAGAATGATTTTGTGGAATGATATACAATATACAAAAAGTTGTTTCAATCTCAAGTGAAAAATTTAGCACGAAATCTCTCTATTAATCCAGTTTTTGAAGGTTTATAGAACATTTAACAGAGTTGTTTTATGAAATTAGTGAATAGAATATGATTCATTAAAGTTGAATTAATAAAGAAAACAAAGTATTTTTCAAATATTTATTTTTTGTAACACATTTTTCTAAAACAGAATAACCACGAACGGTCCTGTAACGCTTTTGCGATTTGTTTGCGTGTGATGTCCATTCAAAACATTTCATCATCAATTAAAAACTATGGATATTAAAAATTTCACTTAAATTTGGCTTTCTGCTTTCAAATAAATCAAGTTCAATAATTGTTTCAAAATGTATTGCCTTGCTTTCAAACTGTATTTCTCAGTATAATAAATAGTGCAAATTAGTACTTTAATTATAATATGCCAGTATTTATTCTTCACTAAGACTTAGATTGTAGTTGATTGCATTAATTGTATTAAACGAGTATTGTAGTTGTATTAAACGAGGAAATAATAAGTTATTAAGTTCATCCACTCTAGCCGCATAGCTTGTCCCATGTAGTGGTGCAAATGTCTACAAAAACAACCTTTTTTTATAAAACTTATTATTCAATAATCAGTTTTGTAATTCCAAATATAAACGAGAATGCAGGTAAACGTCCAAATTATTCTTAAGAAAACACTTTATGAGTTAAAAAAATATATTAAATAAGGTATTTTCATAAATTAGTGAAAAATGGCCGAATAGTCCCCTTTCCTCTATCAGGCTAATTCTAATGCGTAGAAACTTTTATTATTCGAAAAGCAGCTTTGCAAAAATGTCATTAAAAAAGATTTTACATTTTGTAATTTTTTAAACAGAAACGATAGTAAGTTTAATCATGAAATCAAATATAATTAATTAAAACAATTTTTTTAACTCTTCTCTGACGTCGCTTTCTACATATATCACATAACAGAATTAAAAATTCAATTTATTTTACAATTTTTAAAATTAAGCTTTAAAGTTATTTTTTCTTTTCGAATAGTAGAATAAAGGTACTTTTTTGTCATGTTCCTTAATTTTTTTTATGTATTTATTTATTTATTTTTCAGATATGCATGTCTGAAGATGTGGAAAAGGTTCGCTGTGCTGTAACTGAGCCAATGCCACAAGAATGTATGGATAATGAAAAAAGGTTTATTCGTCTCGGGGA